TCATGAAGGTTAATAGGATTGACATCTTACTATTGTCAGGAAAACAACAAGTGCAGACTTAGAAACGAGAGAGAATAGAACCCGGAAGTTAAGCGTGCTCAGGCTAGGGTAGTGGGAGGATGGGTGACCGTTCGGGAAGTTAGATGATTTGAAATGATGAGGGGTGATTAGAGGATAAATTGAGCAGTGATGAGGGGTGGTGATTACACACTAGAGGGGTGGTGATCACACACTAGAGGTTACCAACCGGGACTAAAGGTGGAGCTCCACGTGGCCGCGCCCTTTAGTCCCGGTTCGTGTAAGAACCGGGACTAAAGGGGAGAGGCATTACTACCGACCCTTTAGTCCCGGTTCGAAAACCAGGACCGGTTCGAAAACCGGGACTAAAGGGGCCTTACCAACCGGGACAAAAGCCCCTTTTTCTACTAGTGAGGCGACAGCAATAGGGCCACTATCACCTGAAGCACAACCGACCGCAGCTTCCTCTCAGGCGGTTCCAACTACCCAACAAACCCGGATAATTTTCAACACTAACCCTCACCTTTTCCCCTCGCTATCTCTTCCTCTATGGTGGAGCTAGCGCGCCTTCCCATTGCCCACCCCAGAGATGAGGATGGGATCGATGATGAAGCTACACCCAACCCGAGGTGTTGTTTTCCCGAAGCCGTGCAGAAGGAGGGTTCTACAGTGCATGAGGAGAAGGCCGCCCATATAAAGTTTCCACGGTCTACTTTAATCACATTCTTTCCATTTTAAAGCCTAAGTGTCTTGGGTACATGTTGATTATTGATGGCTACAAATTAGTGCAGTTTTTTGCGAGGGTATGAATTATTGCATTCAGAAAGAAAAAAAAGTAATAAATTGCTTTATTTGTGCTTATATTACATGTACTAAATTGAAATAGCATATATGTTTATTCGAGCCATATGTCTCGTGCTATCGAGTGAGCTAGCCCTGGTTCAAACTCTGCTCGTATTTAACCGAGCTGGAAAAGATGCTCGTGCTAAGTTTTATTTATTGAGTGATCCCGAGTCGAAATGAAATACGAGTCAAGCTAGAGTGGTTGACGTGTCTCGGGGTTTCTTCTTTGGTAAATGTTTATAGCCGGTTGACCGGCTGAGCGTTCGGCCGGTCCCCTCGCTCGCCTCGCTAGGCAGCCCAGGCCCACCACCCACAGAGCTTATCTCTATCCCCACCACTTCCATCTTATCCCCTCGCTCTTTCTAGAGACCACACGAGGCATCCTCGCCCTGCTCGCCCTTCAGTCCCCAAGTTTTCAATCTCTCCTCTTCCTTCGTGTGTTCTCTCGGAAATCCACATCTAATCCCCATGAAATTGAGCTCATTTTTTTTCCTTCTCTGCTTCCCGCAACATTTTTCCTCCATAAATCCATGAGAGGGGTGAGCTCGTCCGTGCTTTTTTGCTTTTTTCTCTCATGCCTTGCGCAGTCCACCATGGATCCCATGAGGTTGGGCTCAGGCACATGCAGCACATGGTTTGCACAAATGTTGCAAACCAGCAGCTACGATGGTGCTGCAACCAGTGCTCGTCTCCATGGCAGGGCTGCAATCGACCACGACGACGGTGGATTTCTTTTTTTGCTACAACCATGTGTTGTTTTTGCTGGAACTGGCCCATGTTTTTGCTACCACCCGCCCACCCAAATTTTGCTATCAGGTGATTTTTGCTGCAACCGATGAACTATTTTGCTACAACCGTTTTGACTTTTTGTTACTACCGGTGTTTGTCGACTTTTGCTACATCCATCTCCTGTTTTTCCTATCCTTTTTGCTACAACCATATTTTGTTTTTGCTGGAATTGAAGACATTTTTTGCTACATCCACCCACGGCGGTGTTGCTCAACGGTGGCGATGGCTTTTTTTTGCTACAACCGTCTCATATTTTTGCTACTACCGGAGATGCCATTTACTACCACCGGAGTTTTTGCTACTACCAGAGTCCTCCTGGAAGCTTTAGGGAGTTTTTGCTACCCCCCCCCCTTGTTTTTGTTTTGTTTTTTGCTGGAACCATCCTAAAAATTGCTACCACCCTCTTTTGATTTTGCTGGAACCGGCATTTTTTGCTTCGGTGTCGGCGGTGAAGGCGGGTGATGTTTTGGTTCACCGGCGGCGGCGAGGCTGCGAGCGCCGGCGAAGAGCAGGGGCAGCGGTGGTCCAAGCGAGAGCAGCGCGGGCCAGCGTGCGGGATCCCGCAAGCGGCGGCGGCACTTGCTTTTTTTCTCCTCCGTTTTCCCGTGGGGGAGGATGGCGATAGAAGATGCGGGGCAGATCTGACGGTTACGCGCGTCCAGATCGAGCGGCTCTGGTTTGACCGGCCGAAACGTTCCGCCGGTGCGCCGGTGCAGAGTACTGCCCTTCTTCTTTTCACCAAACGATATCATGCATCCATTTCATGAGGAGAGCATTTTTTTTCTCAGCCCCAATCGAGTCTTTTCCTTTCCTTCCAAGTTAAGCACACATTGACGAGCAATTTCTAAGTAGTATTTTTTTTTTTTTGCGGGGAAAGTAGTAGACCGATTACCAAACCCAGAAACCCTTCGGGTTAAGAATCACGAAACCAGCCGGCACATCCATGCACGACTTTAACGGAAAATATCTTGCCGATACTTTAACATGGACTGCAAACACGATCCGCCGGTCTCCTCTATTATTCCCACGAAAATCATGCCAATGTTGGACTCGTGCACCAGCTTTTCATTTCTTCCAGGAAAGAAAGTACTTGTGTCGCACCGCCATTGTCGTCACAAGTTTGACACGATCGACGCCATGAGAAAAGATTGCTGAAGCTCCAACCCATGCATGCATCCATCACGCCATTGGTTCCACGTTTGGACGGACGAGAAGAACGGCCAGAAGAAGCTGCCACGGAGAAGACAATTAATTAACCTCCGCGTCTACGATTTAACTAAGTGAGACGCACACGGGAATTCGGTATCGGCGTGCTGCAAATTCTCCGTGTGCGCGTACTTTACAATCTGGCATATGAAACACAAGGAAACTGCCAAGAGCTAAAGTAAGACGTTTTGGTTCCCTTTGGGCATTCCGGCCAGGCCAACCCATCATCAGCTACTACCGCTTAACTAAAATAGATACTGGAAAGTTGAGATCGTAGAGAGCCAATCTACACCTTGGGGCATGTGTCTTTTCTGGCCTAAGTGGAATACTTTCTCCATTTCATTCCCTATTCCTAGCTTTTCTTGCATCTTTAGCTTGCTTTCCACTCCCAACATTCCCATAGTGCTAACTCCACATGCCAAATTGTTTTCTACAGATCTTCTTTTCGTACCGATGCTTGTTTTTTCCAAGCTTGCTTTCATATGCTTTGGGAGAGCTAGAAAAGTTTGATCGTGACATGAGCAAAGTTGTACTCAAGCACTTGCATTCCGAGTTTCTGACTATAAATACAACCTTGGAGCCTCAGGAGAAGGCCCATGAATCTGAAACATCTTGCCTCATCTCTGTGGTCTGCTCATGCCATGCTTGAGCTACCACAGAACCCTACTTGTTGTCCTTGATAGGCAGTTTGGCACCTCTCAGCATCGAAGATGAAGATTGGCAAGGGCACGGAGCTCCTGAAGAAGGCGGCTTCGACATGCAAGAACAAGATCAGAGTGCTGTAGACACAACATAAGTACACCACACACCAATTCATACACATCATGCACATGATATAAATTCTACTTCAAACATGTCACATACATCACATTAATAATAAGTTTATTGCACATAGACAACAAATTTAGTAGAATATCCATTTCATTCATATATGTCATGTATATATTGCACACCCATTCATCCACCTCAACGATTACAATGTAGCGAGGAAGGAAAGTATTTCGTCAGTTTTTTGGTTTATGTTGTTGCCCTTGCAACTCAACTCATCATTTCACGACGCGTGAATGATGAAATGCAATAATATGGGGGAACATGTTGGCCGTTTTTTCACCGTTTTGATCAGATAATATTTGAATAACATATATGCCATACTTATGTCCGTGACATTGAGGTATGGGTCCTATTGATCGGACCGTCGAACCCACCTTGAATTCAGTGAACTGTAGAGATGCTTCACTGCTGGCATGCAAATATGCAAGATATATACCTGATTTTGGGCAATAGTAAAAAAAACTACAGTGAACACCTGGAGTCAAAGCGACAAGCTATAGCACCACCTTTAATTCCTCTAAAACTGAGACTAGCTAGCTAGCTGAGATCTTTTTGCTTCAAACCAGAGAGGGCCCCCACTCTTATTTCATGCTAATAACGGGGCTGGACGTGCACCGATTTATTCTTCTTTTGAGAAAGGAGTGTTGCAGCATCAGTTGTCGTTTCCTGTCCACAAGCTACAAATCTTCAAAAGCACAACATGTTCCCGTTGTTGATGTGGTTGTTGTCGCACAGTGAAGCGCGCAAGGAGAACGTGCTGTCCGAGACCACTCTAAGTCCAATATGGCTTGAGTGACAGTCTCATGCTTGGCAAAGCGTCACAAAAGGCAGGGACCCGGTGGGCGCATGATGATTGATCATCAGGCTGCAACGGAGACCGCCAAAGTATATAATTTAGGGGAGACAATTCGATCCCACTGTGTCCTTTATGGCCTAATTATACTGTAACACTTTCTCCATATCACTCCTCGCGCATATCACATTGCTATAGCTTTCCGTTGCTTCTTTATTTAATCACTCCCACTCTCAGTATTCTTATAGTGCTCATCACTCCACATGCATGTGCTCAATTTGTTTTCTCCAAATGCTATTTTCATTTAACACGCTTTGGAGTACCAAGAGTATGATCACAACATTACCAAATTATAAGCGGCACAGTTAGTGGCGTTGCTCTCGGTTTCATGGATATAACAACACCCTTGGAGAGCTTCAACAAGGCCTTCACTCTCAAACCAGCTTGCCAAGCCTGAGGCAGTCTAGCTCCTCAGTTGTTGCCATTGAGAAGCAGCTGCTAGCTTAGCCACCTCTCAGAAATGAAGATGAAGATTGGCAAGGCCCCAGTGCTCCTGAAGAAGGCGGCGGCTATCTGCAAAAGCAAGACCGGCGTCGTCATGGCCAGGCTCCGCATCCTCACCTCGCCCCACCGCAGGATGGCCACGATCGGCGCCATCTCTCACAGGATCCACACTCTCATTGTGGAAAATCAGGAGAAGGGTGCCAAGGTGGACTACCACAAGACCTTGGTCCGCAAGGTCGAGAGGCAGGCATGCCATGGGATGGTTGATGATCTGTTTCACCATCTAGCACAGTTTGATGAAGATGATGGTGTTGGTGGCTGTCCTAACTGGACACTTCACCCGATCTTCAGCGACGGTGATAATTGTTGTTACACTTATGGGTATGACGACAATGACGATGATGAAGATGAGCCCTCGGTGGTGGATGCAATTAGGAGCAACCAGGAGGCTGCGGAGTTGGCATTCAACATGGACGACGATATCGACCAGGCTGCTTAAATGTTCATCAGAAGGTTCCGTGAGAAGATGAACAAGAGCTTTTGATGAGGTTTCATTCCATATGTACCTTACACGAGTGTTACCACTAAATAGGTGACACTAGGGAGTGAGATCGATGCCATAGATAGGCTGGGACGAGTGGGCGCATGAACTTGCATGTGTGTCCATTTTCACGATAGGAGATTTTTGCAGGAGTCCCAAGTTAGAAGTTTTGACAGATATCTACATGCTAAAATGTGTACTTCTTTGTGTGCCGCAAAGAAAAGAAAAAGTCTATCTAGAGCACTTTAGCAAAACTGAAAGAAAAACACTACATGATTTTTTTAGACTGCAAATCTTTTTCTAAATTGTTTGATCTTGATTCAACGTATCTTGAGTTCCACAGCTACTAAAAAAGGATCACCGCTGCTAGCATATACTATCTAGAAAAGTTTGATTACCCTCCACCCGTAATCCCTACTTTGGTTAGCCGGCTTCAATGTGTTGATGCTAGCCCGCCATACAATGGTTGCATCAAGATCGGGGCAGGACCCAGACACTACCGGAACAGGGGGGCTATCCCGACGGCCGAAACAATGCCGACAACGCCCGTCAGCCTATTCAGAGCTATGCCGACAACCGGGTCCAGGCTTCGGGCTACCAACCGAGCCTGTTAGAGAGTACGGGGCGTTCGCAGCCTCCCTTTGCCCGCCAGCATGTTGTAAGTACTTCCCTCTTATCTTCTTTCTCTCTAACCTTCTCAGTTTATTTTCAGCATTGCCCACTTAAAAACAACCTAAATTTTGTAGGCATATAAGGCCTTTGTCGAGCATAGGAATCTCGAGGTGCGGGAGTACTTGCAACGAGTGAAGGCAAACGATGATTACAACCGTCAGATGATGATGGTTAGTTTTGCCCTCTTAAAACAAAGCTAAATTTTTCACTTTCATTTCTTCTGACCTTCTAATTTGCTTGTTTAATTAACATCCAGGCTATGTTGGCGTCTTGGACTAACCGCACGGATCTACCACAAATGGGACCCGCACCAACACCTGCGGGAGAACCCCCACACGTTCCCACGTTCGATGAATGGGTGGCACTAGGTAGTGATACTCCGTTAGTACATTTGCCTAACTGCTGACAAACTAGTTCTCGTTCATTCAACACTATCATATCATATTTACCTTTAGAATCTCTTCTCAAACATGTAGGGGACCGGTGGCTCGACTCCTGCTTCGTCGACCCCAATCACTCCGATCTGGCAGAGTGGTGCTGGTCTTGGCGGTGGCGGTCTTGGCGGTGGCTTTCTTGGATGATGTGTTTCGACGATGATGATGTTGAGGATCTTTAGATGATGAACTTTAGTATCTTTAGATGATGAACTTGAGTATCTTTAGATGATGATGATGATCTTGAGTATCTCTATGATGATGAACTTGATGATGATCTATTGATCTATCTTATTTCTGTGTGTATATGGATATTGTCATATTTTCTGGTTTTTAAAGCTGTCAAATTGAATTGAAACAGAGAAAACAGAGCAAATTTTAAAAAATAGAACAACATAGCTATGTCCAGGAGCGCCCAGCGGCCGCCACGTGACCGAGGTATGCCGACGGCCTGGCCGTCAGCATACCTCTACCATGTGGCAGCTCGCGGTTCGTCAGCGTGTTTGACGGCGCCGTCGGTTGCCGTCAGGTGATAATCTCTGCCAACGGTGCATATATGCCGACGGCCGTACGGACGCCGTCGGCATATATGCCTATGTTGACGGCTTTACTATGCCGACAGTCTGACAAAACTACGCTGACGTGATCTACGCCGACGGGTGTATGCCGACGATGGCCGTCGGCATAGACCTAAGCCGACGGTGGAGGGCCTATGCCGACGGCTGGAGGCCGTCGGCTTAGGGGGGGGCAGTCCGGTAGTGAGGCAAGACGGATGCCAAACACTAGCTACAGTACTAAACAATGCAAATTTTGCTATAGTGAGGGAAGGAACCCAACTTCATGACCCATGTCACCGCCGACATGTCTCTGCCATTGCTGCTATACCTACCCCTCTGCTACACAACCAAAGCTATTGCAGGATCTACCACTCGAATATCTCTCTTAGAGAGTTCCTGTTTTCGGCTAGGCCACCTCCATTGCTTACCATTCTTGGAGGGTCTGACCAGACGCATTGTCAGGTATTCGATAAGGCTTGGCTCCCTCCCCCTTAGTATCTCTAAACTCGGGGGCTCTTGTTAATCTTGAACCCTAATACGTCTCCAACGTATCTACTTTTCCAAACACTTTTCCATTGCTTTGGACTCTAACTTGCATGATTTAAATGGAACTAACCCGGACTGACGCTGTTTTCAGCAGAATTGTCATGGTGTTATTTTTGTGCAGAAATAAAAGTTCTCGAAATGACCTGAAAATCAACGGAGAATATTTTTAGAATATATAAAAAATACTGGCGAAATAATCAAGGCCAGGGGGCCCACACCCTGTCCACGAGGGTGGGGGGCGCGCCTACCCCCCGGGGCGCGCCCCCTGCCTCATGGGCCCCCTGGAGCTCCACCGACTGATACGTCTCCAACGTATCTATAATTTTTGATTGCCCCATGCTATTATATTATCTATTTTGGATGTTAATGAGCTTTATTTTACACTTTTATATCATTTTTGGGACTAACCTACTAACCGGAGGCCCAACCCAAATTGTTGTTTTTTGCCCATTTTAGGGTTTCAAAGAAAATGAATATCAAACGGAGTCCAAACGGAATGAAACTTTCGGGAACGTGATTTTCTCAACAAACGTGGTCCAGGAGACTTCGAGTGGGCGTCAAGAAACAATCGAGGAGGCCACGAGGTAGGGGGTGCGCCCTCCACCCTCGTGGGCCCCTCGTTGCTCCACCGACATACTTCTTCCTCCTATATATATCCACGTACCCCCCCAAACATCTAGGAGCACCACGAAAACCTAATTCCACCGCCACAACCTTCGGTACCCGAGAGATCCCATCTTGGGGCCTTTTCTGGAGCTCCATCGGAGGGGGCATTGATCACGGAGGGCCTCTACATCAACTCCATGGCCTCTCCGGTGATGTGTGAGTAGTTTACTTCAGACCTTCGGGTCCATAGTTATTATCTAGATGGCTTCTTCTCTTTCTTTGGATCACAATACAATGTTCTCCTCGATCTTCTTGGAGATCTATTCGATGTAATCTTCTTTTGCGGTGTGTTTGTCGAGATCCGATGAATTGTGGGTTTATGATCAAGTTTATCTATGAACAATATTTGAATCTCCTCTGAATTCTTTTATGTATGATTGGATTATCTTTACAAGTCTCTTCGAATTATCAGTTTGGTTTGGCCTACTAGATTGATCTTTCTTGCAATGGGAGAAGTGCTTAGCTTTGGGTTCAATCTTGCGGTGTCCTTTCCCAGTGACAGCAGGGGCAGCAAGGCACGTATTGTATTGTTGCCATCGAGAATAAAAAGATGGGGTTGATATCATATTGCATGAGTTTATCCCTCTACATCATGCCATCTTACTTAAAGAATTACTCTGTTCTTATGAACTTAATACTCTAGGTGCATGCTGGATAGCGGTCGAGGTGTGGAGTAATATTAGTAGACGCAAAATCGTTTCGGTCTACTTGTCGCGGACGTGATGCCTATATACATGATCATACCTAGATATTCTCATAACTATACTCAATTCTATCAATTGCTCGACAGTAATTCGTTTGCCCACCATAATACTTATGCTCTTGAGAGAAGCCACTAGTGAAACTTATGGCCCCCGGGTCTATCTTCCATCATATTAATCTTCCAACACTTAGTTATTTCTATTGCCGTTTATTTTACTTTGCATCTTTATTTCTCTGTATCATAAAAATACCAAAAATATTATCTTATCATATCTATCAGATCTCACTCTCGTAAGTGACCGTGAAGGGACTGACAACCCCTTTACTGTGTTGGTTGCGAGGTTCTTATTTGTTTGTGTAGGTGCGTGGGACTCGAGCGTGATCTCCTATTTGATTGATACCTTGGTTCTCAAAAACTGAGGGAAATACTTACGCTACTTTACTGCATCACCCTTTCGTCTTCAAGGGAAAACCAACGCAGTGCTCAAGAGGTAGCAAGAAGGATTTCTGGCGCCGTTGCCGGGGAGATTCGCGCCAAGTCAAGTCAAGATTTGACTCCTGACAACGAGCCATTTCTGGCACCGTTGCCGGAGTCTACGCACAAGTCAAGACATACCAAGTACCTATCACAAACTCTTACCCCTCACATTACATTATTTGCCATTTGCCTCTCGTTTTTCTCTCCCCCACTTCACCCTTGCCGTTTTATTCGCCCTCTTTTCCTCTCACCCTCTCTTTTCCGTTCGTCGCTTTATTGCTTGCCTTGTTGTTATGGCTAGTCCTCTATCTTCTCCATTGTCTCCCGAGAATGAAGTTCTTAATTTTAAGCAAAGGGAAGGAGAAAATCTAAAAGACGCTTGGTATAGAATTTGCAATGCTCAAAATAGATCTACCAGGAAGCAATCTACTTCTGTTCTTCCCCGCAATTTTTATGTAGGCGCTACTCCTTGGTATAGATATATTCTTGATACCATTACCGGAGGGAATTTCTTGGGAAGCCATACTTTTGATTCTTATAATGCTATGATAGATTTGTTTGGCTCACCACCTCTTTTGGTTAATGGAACTATGTTAACTTTGGAACATGTAATGGAAAGGCTTGAAATTATTGAGAATAAAGTTGCTACTGTAGAGTTGATTGAGAATTTGGATAAAAAGATCCACAACCAAATTACCCAATATGGATCTAAGGTGGGAGTTACTCTGAAAAGTTTTAAGGAAAAAGAACACATAGTTAATGAAAGAATAGATCAAGATTCTACTACAAATTGATAAACTTGAGGGATTTATCACCAACTTGGGTCCGATTTTTCTTCCGTTAAAAATACTCCAAATCCTCCTACCAAAATTTCCAAGCTCATTTATGTTCCTAAAAATAAGG